GAATTTGCATGTCAACCCTTTGAAGGTGTTCATATTGAGCTTATATTAATATGGAGAAGGTAGTTCCTCCTTATGTGATGTAAGTGATAAGCTCTTATGTGTTATGAAAAGTGGCGTAAGCTCTTAAATGTTGATGTTATGTTTATATGTTGAAAGGAGTTGAAATTTCTTCTATGAGTTGTGACTCATTACGATATTTCTTATTTGTTGTCTTCTAATCTTGGGTATCTTCCTTTTTCCCAATAGAAAGTTTAAGGTGTCATTCGGGGACGAATGTTTCTAAGAGGGCAGGGGATATTGTAACACCCCGTAATTTCCATGACCTTTACTAGAGTCTCATATGTTGAATAATGGTGATTTAGACCTAAATAAGTGTGAATAACTTGTTTAAGAAAGTATTAGAGTCAAAACATCAAAGAAAGTCCTTAACGTCCGAAAACTAGCGAAATTGAATTAGTAGATGTCCCTATGTTTGGTGAAGGTTTGGGAGTGTCATATTAAGTCTAAAACTTATAAAAAGACTTTAAATAGGTAAAATATAGTATAGAGGGTCCAAACGTCTAGTCACGACTCTCCAAGTACCACCGCAAGGGTCCTTGAGGAGGACCCGAACTTTGGCGAGCAGGCTGCCTAAGCAGCCTGCGTCCATCCAAGATATGGAGGTCCCTGCGTGTTGCACAGCCAGCACAAGGAAGGAAAAATTTGTCTCTCAAATTCTCTCTTCCTCCTAACCTCCATTGAAGACCATTAGAGCTCCAAGAAGAAAGTCAAGTATTCAAGTTTCCAACCTAATTTCGTGGATTTATCATCTTTAAGGTATGATTTCTTTCACTCTTGAGATTCATTTACCCAAGAGGTCTTTCCAAAAGATGATTTCTAGATCCCCAAAAGTTGAGTTTTTCTTCTCACATGGGTCTTCTTTGGAAAAATGAAATTATAAACCAATTGCAATGAATTATGATGAATTAATGTTATTTAAGTATATATTGATGGTTAATTTATGATTTCCTATCATATTTCCCTAGACCTATGTCTTTTCCTCCATTTCATGAAAACATTGAATTATTAGGGTGAGTTGTGAAGATGATGAACAGGTAGATTGACTACATTGTTGTTAATTATGTAATTGCTTCTTGTATTTACCTTGTTTATGTAATTGGTTATGTATTATATGTAATGGAAGTGTGAAGGTTCTTGAAGAGGGCAAGAAGGTATGTTGATTTGTTCTTTTTTGATTCAATTGTGAATTGTGAGTTACTTAGATAGTAATGCTTCCATGTCTAATGTGTGGTTGTGATGTTGATGCTAGGTATTCCTCATCCTTAACCCTAAGATATTGAATTAGACATGAATTATGTATGTATGTTATGATATGAATATTATATGATTGAAAGTAGTTTCTCATGATTATAATAAAATGTTAAGTGGAAGGTTTACTCACTTGTGAAGTGGTGAAAGTGAAAGGATTGTTCTCACTTATGATGACCTGTGAGATAATATGATAAGATGTTTACATAGGTGTCTAGAAGAGACTAGTGTGAACTTTTATGATGAAATACGATGATTACTAGAGGGAATAATTGCTTAGCACCGAAAGGGCATGTAAATGAGATGGAGATTTCACGTTTAGTAAGTCCGGCCTCCCACATGGGTTTCCTCATGTTAGTAAGTCCGGATTCCAAAATATGTGTTCATGAGATGGAAACCTTCACATCTAGCAAGTCAAGGTTTCTAATAACAATCTCCTTGACCCTTAACTATGTACCCACATAAGACTTTAGCTTAGTCGACCCACCTAGATAGCTATGTATGAAAGATTGAACCTTAGGCAAGTATTAATCCTCTATTTTCGGTGTGGAAGTAGTACACCGGATTCCATGTAGCTCACATGGTCTCATGTCAGTTATTGCACTTCTTTCCCTAATGTAAAATTAAATGAACAAATATGCATGTGAGCTCTTATTACGGTCTTCTTAAAGAATACTACATAGTGTGAGGGAGGGTATGTGACTTCTCTTACACATTGCACATGTGAGATCCTAAGAGATGGTTCTAGTAGTGTTCTATTATGATTGTAATTACGATCATGTAGATAAGCCATAAGTAGTATTGATGTATGAAGCATGTTATGAAAATATGTTGTAAATATGAAGTGGGTCACTTGATGTGATACTTAGCTTTGGATAGGGTTATGGGGCTTTATTCTTGCACTGCACGTGTGTTGCTTGAGTTGTTTATATGTTGGGGTGGCTTATGATGTTCTATATATGTGTATATTGAGTCGGTGGATATTATGCATGGTTTTTACTAAATTGAGTCTTTTCTCATGCATTAATGATTTTTATGCATAGGGATCATACCTAGTACATGTGTTTTGTACTAACTCATATTACTTTCCTTTTTCCCAACATTTTAGGTTCGGACCATTGAGGTATCTCGAGGCTAAAGCAAGAAAGCTTGGACTAGACTCTCCAAGCTTGGTAGGTCCTCTAGTTCGAGGATGGTACCATATACTCTACCTTAGTCTTACTTGTATTGTCTAAAGACATTCTTTTCTCTCCTATTGTTGAAGATGTTGATGTAAGCCCTATGTGGCAATTATAAATTTGTATAAGGTCTATGCCCGGATGTTTTACTTCATTTAGATGGTTTTAATGTGAGACAAAGTATTAGACTAAATTCCTATGTACTCTTATGTTGTCTAAGCGACAAGTCTAAGTAAGCTTCCTATGTGAGGAGTCTATGTAAACCTCACTATGTATATATAAGTAAAAGTTTTAATTTTTTCGCGTTTTTTACCTATGATATGTTATGACGAATGCTAAGAGGCTTGACTTAGTCCTCTTCGAGGATGTAGACGCCGGTAACGCCTAGGGGTACTTTGGATCGTTACAGAAAACTATATTCACATGTCATTCCTCTAAAATCATAATAAAATTCAAGATATCCCTACAACAAAAATTTCTGAAAATGCAATTACATAAGGGGAAATATTAATTATCACTTATTTTGCATAGGAATAGAGTGTTAGTTTCATGTCTGATCTACAAAGTTTTGGATATCAAGCTCAACTTATAAATTTTAGCACATCATGATTAATAGACTTCTAATTTTTTTAAAAAAAAAAAGAAAAAGAGAGAAGTTGAAGAGAAATGCAATGTTTCCCAATTTTTTTGAAGTCACATATTGAAGAGAGAAATACAATGCTTTTGCAATTCTTTTTGAAGACATGCAAATAAAATACTTAGATTTAAAGAAAAGTTTATCAAGAAAGTATACCAAACCTAAAAATGATAAATAACATGCTAATTTGCTGCAAATTTTTATCAAATCATGAAACTTTAAATTCAAAAAATCATGCAAAATGGAAAAGAAAACAAATTATCTATAGAAACACATGAAGAAACTTCAATGTGACAATTTATTTAAACATAAAATATATGTGAATAACGATGATTGAAGAGGAAGTTTACCAAGTGAGAGGAGAGGTTGAAAGAAAAATTAGAAGAAACCCCTCTATTATAGTAAACAAAGGTAGTATGAACAAGTGTTGTTGGGCCTTATCATCAAATTCATGACCTTTCAGAGAAGTCACAATCCTTTGAAAAATTCACAACTTATTAAAAAAGTCACAAATCTTTAAAAAAGTCACAACTCATCCAAAAATCACAACCCTTTGAAAAAAATCACGATTTATCAAAAAAGTCACAACTCATTGAAAAAGGCACAACCTGAGTTAGGGATATTATAGTAATTTAATATTCAAGTAAGGAATTCATGTTTTGAAGGTAATACAAATATATATATATATATACACACACACACACACACATAAAAGCAGGAACTCCTAACCTTAAAGTGAAATTACTAAATCACCCTTTCTGAAAGCATTAATTCCTAAGCTAAATGTAAAATTACTAAACTACCCTTTTTGTAAACTCCAAAACAATGCTCCAAACACAAACATTCACAAACAATGCTACGTTTTCCTTGCATACAACGACTCGCAAACGCTAGCAGTTCAAACGACTGTTCATTCAACATACACCACCGTCCAACATTTCCAAACAACCTCGCAAACACCCCTAATCCATACGCCTTTTCATTCAATAGATACCACCGCCAAATATAACCAAACAGACTTGCCCCCTTGCCTCGCGGTATTTAAAATCCAGAAACGCATATGTCTCACACATCCATTACCTATAACACACAGGTTTGTAAGGACACATCATCTCCTTCAAAATATATCTTTTCCAAACTACCCGCTTCGTTCCCCTGTTTAATAGTTTTTTCTAACACAAGTATATCGGAAACATTACATCTGGGTATTGCTTCTCCTATTTAACAAATTGTAAGTTTTCCCTTTATTTGTTGAATGTTCAATTAACACGGCTTCGTCCCCCATTTATGTCTCTCCTCATACTTAGAAGCCTACAATATTAATAACATTCCTGTCGTAATATTGTATAGGAGTACAACCATGTCATTCACACATAAGTTCAAGAAATTCAATAAAACCGTGTTATGTAACAAATACTTTCCATCTAACTTCTTACAATTATTTGTTTCATATGAGATAAAACTTTCTCCTCGCATATGTATTTACAAGGTTGCTATATGTTACTTCCATTTTTATGTGATTCCCTAAAAAATGGTACTAATACACATTTATGTCTGGCATCCAAAATTGTTCCGCTCAGCTCCCCAGGTACCTTCACTGATCAAGATTCAGTCCACACGACGACTAAAATTAATCTAGCAAAATAGAGTCAACTGATAAATAAAATACCAAAACACTCTATTGATTCAGTGATTAGAGTATTAGTTATTCGAAGGGTTTCAATAATACCTTACAAGAATTCAAGGCATGAAAGGACTTTCAGAACAATAATATTAGTTGACGAAGAGGTAACAACATTCATAGTTTTACAGCCTTTTAACACTTTTGTTCATGTTTTTCGTACTCACCCCCCCCCCCTTTGATTACGAACAGGGCACAAAACTTCAGGCAACACTTTTTAATAAGCATATTGAAACATGGAAGGATTCCTTGAAACCTAACAAGACTTACTATATTGCTAAAGGGTGCTTAGAGCGCGTCAACCCCAACTACTCTTCCGTGCATTCAGAAGTTGAATTGGCATTTACAGACAACACGATTATAATGGAGAGTAACCATGAAGTTTCTACAATCAAGTTCTCCGATGGCTTTGTATCATTGGAGCATGCTGAAAAATTACTTAATGGCGCTATTCTAGGTAACTAGACACACCAATATGATTTTATATTCTCCCTTGCGTTATCCAGGTCACTAATTTACATGAAAATTTTCAGACTTGCTTTGTGTTTTAGTTTTGGTGAATCCCCTCATTCAAACTGTAAAAAGCAAGCGACGGAAAATAGTTGTTACAAATGAATTGTAAGTTTTTGTCATGCATAATCGGTTGTCTATAGATAATTATTGATATGAACATTGCCGTGCAAATCAACAAAGTTGTGTTATGGTGATGTATTCACTTTTCTCTTCTATCAAATAATTTAGCATGGAGCATACAACTATTACTCTATGGGGAGACTATGCTGAAAACGACGGCTCCTTCCTGGAAAAGCTGAAAGACGATAGACCTATACTAGCCTTATGTAACGTTAGAGTCTCCATCTATAAAGGTATCCGACAGACTATTCTGTTGATAAATAACATAATGTAGTTGTTTATAAACTTTTTACATCCTCTTCTCACATTAGGTAATTTTGGGATCTCTATTATTCTCGTGAGCAACATCTTGGTCAATCCAATGTTCCAGAAAGCAATGGACCTTCGATCCTGGTGCACTACATTAATCACCAATATGTTCAGCACTATTACTTTTATTTAACTGTGATAATTAATGCTTAAGATATACTTTAGCATTTTTCCTAGGTTAATTATGCACTAACCACACCTCCCTCTAAATGGGTAATAAAATTAACTAATCACATCGTTAACGCAGGCAACTAACCTCATAGTTAATGCAGACGTGAAATCATAAAGGCTGAGAATAAACATATAACATTAACACCAAGTAGGATGATGAGGAGAGCCATAGAAGTACCATTGCCACATATTCTAGATGGGTTGTTGCCTGATTCACAGTTACATACTACTCAATACTTCAGCTCTCCAAAACAATTATTAGTTTCTATGTTCTAAACGTCGAAATACATATGTTATATTGACACTTTGTAGGATTCTATGTACAAATTCAAAGCAAAAATTATCAACCTCCTCAATAAAGATGAACCATGGTATTCATCTTGCAAAATCTGCCACAAGAAAGTCAAATTTATAGACGAGGCAGCAGCATGTAACAATTGCAACATTAAAAATGGCGAATATGAAATGAGGTCAGACTTGGTTATAACTCCATTCAACATTTCCAAATTACTAAGACATGTATTTTTCAGAATAAAAATTTTTTTTTTAGTTACTGCTTACATCTTGAAGTGTGTGGCGGAGAACAACGTGCTAGAATTATACTTTTTGATGCAACTAAATCTTTACTAGGTTGCACCGTTCAAGAGTACATACAATCAACCTCAGTAAAGGTATGCCATAAAATAATTATCCGATTGAAAGTATACAATATTTACATAGTATAATTTGTACCTTACAGGAAACATTTCCATCTAACATATCGTATTGTTTACCTCTTATTTAGAAGGAAGAATATAAGAACTACCGCAAATTGGTCCTGCCTTAAGATAACGAATTCTACTTCCTTGTCAGAATTTATATGAATGAATCAAATTTCCAAAGGAGTTTAATTGCTCAAGAAATATATCCATTGGAAGATGAAGTACCAACTATCATGGAGGATGATTCAAATATAGCACCATTTCAGGAAACACTTGAAGAAAATCAAAGATGAAACACCAACAATACAACTGAAAAAACGAAAACCCAGAAAAAAATAGATGTGTTTTCATATGATATAACTTAAAAATGTTTGTATCTTACTACCTAATTATGTATGCTTTCCTATTTGAAATGTAAATATCATTTCACAACTCTCTTTTACATACATCAACATCTACTTACATTCTATTGTTTAGATAATTATATACTGTAACTTACACCTCTGGCACATCCTACCTGCTACATTTACAATGCAGACGTTAACAATACTACGCACATCAAATCTGCATAAACGTATTGATCACGACACATTGAAAAGTATCCGGACGCATAGTTATATTTTAATCATAAAATGGCTGATAATTAAAAACAAATTCTTTTATGAGTATATATTTTAACTTTTCAAGGATAAGTTTTTCTCAATTCCCGAATATAACACCCAATACATAAGTCTCAATATACTAATTTTCCAATCTACTAAGTCTTCTAAAGGTACAGCAAAAAGTATCTGAATTAATCGTCATATTTAAAACATAGCTTTGATATATAAAGTTATCCCCTCTGACAATAAATATCAAATTGAATTATGAGCATATTTACAAAAATGCAAGAGTTGCTTCTCGATATTTTCTATGTATCGCCCACTAGATCAGTATCAAAATAACCATTATGATGTTGAACTTGTTCGACTATAAGTTACATTCCTTCATCATCAATTTAAAAAATTCTGCAAAGTCAAAAGGTATTTCATTACAACACTTGTATATTAGTCTAGGTGAGATTTTTTTTTGGTATAACATTTAAAAAATATAAATTGGATCAGTAATTTAATTGACTTATATTATATTACTGATATAAAAGATATAAACTAATTTATAATTGACATTAATATGACATTGTTAGTTATATATGTCAAAGTAGAACGACATTACGAGATATTAAGTATTATATACCTTTCTATGAAGCAAATTACATTTAAGAAATATATAAAGTATATCACATGCTTTGCTTACATAAAAGCCCATGACCTATGGTCTCAAACTTTATACTCCCACCAAACCTCACCAATAAACGTACTAAACCCCTAAAAATATACAATGTAGCAAATTAATAAAACCCATCACCGACCAACAACACTTCTGCAGAAAGTCATAACCTCTATCAACCATTGCAACTGCCTGATTAAATTGTGATCTTTCTTGAAACATATATCATCAACCGTTCCAACCAATTCCCCAAACGAAACATCAACATCAAATGCATTACCACCCTATTTATATTATTAAAAATTACTAAACAATACAACTTAATCAAGTTCTTGCAGATCAATACTGTAGACGATACATATCTATCCGTACAAAGTATCAAAACATTGTAAAGCAGTCACATAATTGTTTACTCAGCGGTCGGAGGATCAATTTCAACGCTCCTCTGTTTTGGTTAGAATCTACTTGCAAACTCCTACATTTTTTATTAATCCGGCACATCAGCAAATTATTAATTGTAAGTTCATCATAAATTTCGCAACATATTCAAAGATTGACCTGTTTGCCTGAAACCGATAATGATTTATCATTAAGCATCGTGCAAGAAGAAAAAAACAATTACACAACTGCAACTTGGTCCATGGTGGCTGAAAAATAGTTGCTCTATCTTAGGGGATAAATATACAATTGTCTACCGAAGATCATATTTTTGTTGGAAAATTGATGTTATCAACCTTTCAAATATTTGGGGGGCTGGCAACACATTAGGCTAATGTGTTTTCTATTGTTTCACACAACACTTTGTCACTTAGCTTTTATAATGTACAAATATTATCATATACCACTCATTTTATCACAAAACGTACGTATTACAACAACTAACCAACCAAATTGACATACCATAACATCTCGAAGGAAGTTAATAATGATCTAACACAGAATGAACAACTTGCAGGTACACTACCAGACAGTATGAAAGTATCAACTACAGAGTTTACAAATTCAAATCATTGCAAACAACAGAACATTACAGCAAATGCATTTCAATTTAACATGCCAGATCAACAGAATGAACAGCCTAAAACAAGAGGTATATTGACCAAATGATCAGTTCTACAGAAAAATACAAATTACAAACTTACTTAAGAGACAAAATTATAACATGATTACATCACATTTGCAACAGTAACGAAGCGTAAAATACTTACATATATTGAAAGGGCGTTGCGAAGTGCGCAAAAATATGTGGCAGCAACAAATCAAATAGAAGATGGCAACATTAAAGAACCACAAGTGAAAAAAATGAAAAATAAATAAATAAGAAGCTAATAGCTATATCTGAGACAACTACGAAGGAGGTATATTCAACACAATAGTCTATACGAAAGGGTCACCAGTTAATAATGATTTACTAAAAAATATTAATGTGATCTGTTGTATAGGGGTACTTCATAGGAATTTCTCAATGATAACAACTCACAAACTGGAAAAAAAGAAGATTGTACCTACCGTCATGCTCGAAGGTTTGAATATGAGCCGCCAACATTCTATTGCGCAGGTGGCTATATCAAATTAGCACCTAATGAAGTGGCTGATGAATATTATGAGTTATTTGTGGCAGCATCGGAAGAAGCAAAGTTATTTAGGAAAAATATAAGAGCATATAATAGCATATTTGCTTTTACATCATTTGGAGTAAAGCTAGATAAAGACTTACATCTTCCACGAGAGGAGTATACAGTTTCAAGGCACAAGGACAGGTAGACCATGATCTACCATCATTAATCCCGAAGAACGACAGACCTTGTTATTTTCAACTAAACTTCTAAGATACAGACAATGAATTAGCAAATAGAATGTCCGTACTACAAAATACCAATTTATCAGAGGGAGTCATGAGGAAATTAAGAAAAATCATGCAGAAAAATCCATATGCAGAATTCTTCTCACAGCTTAAAGAACATACGGGCTATCAGAATCTAGAAATACGCATAGCTCTAAATGCTTCATTAGATCAACGAGTGTATAACACATCATCAGTAGATCAGGTGGCGGCAATCTGGGTGGATGGCAATAATCCAAATATACCGTTTGAAAGAGATATTGTTGTACACGAACACTCTGGAATAAACATAGAGTAAAACATTATTATGGTTGTTATGATCCGCTACAATACCCTATAATTCTACCTAAAGGAGAAGGAGGTTGGCATCAAGGAATACAGAAGTGTTGCAATCGAATCAACAATAATCAAACAACTCCAACTACAACACTCCAAACAGGAAGATCAACATACAGAACTACCACAGACATTTTGGCCATTGAAGCACAAGGTACGCATATTTAATTATTGCCAAGAAACATGTAACTAAATTATCCAACATATTCCATAAAAAAATAAAAATATGCAGTTAATACTAAACTGATTATGGAAGATTGTACAAGGACAAAACAACAAAAAGTAACATTGATGTATGTTTGTCTTAGTCTCTAATCATTTCAAAATAGAGAGGCCAAGAAACTTAACTGTTGTAACATGAATAACATAATTAGAATGGAAAAAAAACAATTACTTGATGTTATGCAATATGGTACTACTAATCGCCTATAACGTACCTTAATCATTAAAATTACAACATAATTGTGTTACCATACATTATAATCAGTAAGAGCAATTACAGACTCATGCACCTTCCAATTACAGATCTCTAACTAAATAATATGCCAAAAAACAACTAATACATCCAAATTATTGTAGGTGTACAACGCGAAACAAAAGGTATTGTTTCATGCTGAGAGTATTATTCTTATAAACTACAAGTCCGAACAGGTGACAAATCAATATTACTACTATGCGGAAGATTGTTGCAGCAGTTTGTTGTGGACATCTACATTAAAATAGAAACAAGAAGACTTGAATATTATAGATTTGAGCAATGAAACTATAGAAGGGAGATACTACAAGGTATTGTTGATAGTGTCACGTCTGGCGAATGTAGAGGAGACAAGGTAGGACAAAGGATATTACTTTCAGGATCATTCATTGGAGGCCCTAAAGATATGCGACGATGATATATGGATGCTATGGCTTTGGTTCAACACCTTGGAAGACCATATCTATTCATCACCATGACATGTAACCCGGAAAGGCATGAGATTAAAGAAGAACTGGGTGCAGAACAACTCGCTCAGGACTGGCCTGATTTGGTTACTAGAGTGTTTAGAGCAAAATTGCAGGACTTGAAAGACCAAATTTTCAAATAAGAAATATTCGGACCAATTGCTGCACATGTTTTTGTCGTAGAATTCCAGAAGAGAGGCTTGCCGCATATACATCTACTTCTAATATTGAAAGAAGGTAATAAGATACGATCAGCAGATTATTATGATAGATACATTAGTGCAGAACTACCAGATAATGCAACACATTGACAATTGTATGCATTAGTTACCAAACATATGATGCATGGACCTTGTGGGGGAAAACGCAAGACAAGCCCCTGCATGAAAGATGGCCGATGTAAGTTTAACTACCCCCGAACATTCAACAGCAAGACAATACAAGGAAAGGATGGATATCCAATTTACAAACGAAAAAATGATGGGAGAACAAGTGAAGTCCGTGGAACGAAGATGAATAACCAATGGGTTGTACCTTATAATCCCTATTTGTTGATGAGATATAATTGTTACATTAATGTTGAGGTATGCTCAGGAGTTAAAGCAATAAAATATCTTTACAAATATATATCAAAAGGACACGATAAATATGTTGTGTACATTGAATCTGACTATGGCAAAAAAATTATAGATGAAATCAAAACCTTTCAGGATGCACGTTGGGTGTCTCCACTAGAAGCATTGTGGAGAATTTATGAGTTCAACCTAACTGAAATGCAACCAGCCATTATCAACCCACAGTTACATCTACCGGGCAAACAAGCAGGTACTTTACAATGACGGTCAAAATATTATACATATTAAGAATTTATTCATGACAATCAACATGATTATTGATATTATATCCACAAACAATGTCTAGTCTGCTATTGGAAAAAGCAAAATCTACAAAGTATCATGGAATCAGACTTAGTACACTAAACTATGCTTACCGAATTTTTTAAGATGTGCTCTATAGACATTGAAGCTCGTAATTACCTATACAGAGAATTTCCAAAACATTATGTTTGGAACTCACAATCCAAAATATGGACAAAAAGAAAATCTCGCACCGTGATTGGACGCATAAATATTGGCAACAAAATTATTAATTCCAGATAAATAAACTATAGAAAATAAAGATTCTAACCAAATCAAATACATATTGCAACTAATCCTAGAGAAGGAGAAAGATATTACGAACGACTATTATTAAATCATGTCCGAGGGCCAACTTCATTTGAAAACTTACTCATTGTGAATGGTAAACATTGCCACACATATAAAAAAGTGGGTTATTAGAATATGATAATAGCATTTCAGAATGTTTACGAAAGGCTGTCACCTTCAAGATGCCCGCAGCCTTACGAAGTTTAATTGCTACAATCTTAGTTCATTGCAACCCAACTAATGTGAGAAATCTATGGGACACATTATTATGATTTCTCAGAAGACTTTTATAGGAGCCATTCCAACACATCAGAGGTACAACTCCAATGTACCTTAAAAAGCATTAATTATTACTTGGAAAGTATGGGACAAAGTTTGGATAAATATGATATCCACAAATAAAACAACAATCAAATCAATCAAAAAGAATGGAATGTAGAGAAATAAAGGATGAAATAATCATTCCAACTGAAGATGTTGATGTTCAATCACAGTTGTATCAACAACAAGCACAAGCATTCAATACCATTCTTGAAAGGGTCAACACAGAAACTCCAGGGTTATTCTTTGTAGATGGACCTGGGGGAAACGAAAAAACTTTCCTATATCGGACACTACTGGCTAAGGTGATATCGCAAGGTATGGCAGCATTGGCAACTGCTACCAGTGGTGTAGCAGCAGCAATATTACTTGGAGGACGTACAACACTCTCAAGATTTGTCATACCACTGCAGCAAATGAGACAACAATGAAAAATATGTCAAAACAAGGTGGAGGTGCCCAACTAACTAGACAACCTAAATTAATAATATGGGATGAAGCACCAATGGCTAAGAGACACATAATTGAAACTGTAGACAGAAGTTTCCGTGATATAATGGATAAGGGCGTCCCTTTTGGAGGAAAAATCATGGTATTTAGAGGAGACTTCAGACATGTTTTACCTGTGGTGACAAAATCTACAAAGCAGAGACGGTAAATTCAAGTTTGGTGAGGTCGTATTTGTGTCCTTTAATGGAAAGGATACAACTTTCAACTAATATGCGAGCAAGAACAGATCAAACTTTTAGTGACTTCTTACTTCGTATTGGTAACGGAGAAGAAACACACAATAAAGGATAATTTAATAGCACTTCCAAAACAAATGACTGTCCAACAAAGTGGGAATATTAATCCTGAAGAATCTTTGGTTCTTGAAATATTCCCAGAACTCGAATAAAATTACATGTATGCACAATATATAACAAAGCGTGCAATATTAGCAAGTAGAAATGAATTTGTAGATAAACTAAATGCACTGATGATTGACAAATTCCCCGAGAAACAAAAACATACATCAGTTTTGACTCAGCCGAAGATGATACCAACAACTACTATCAAGAAGAGTATCTCAACACCTTGACACCAAATGGACTGCTGCCGCATAGGTACATAATCAAATTCATCACTAATATAACTATTCACTTATTTATAATACTTCAAACCACAAAAGAGAACTAATCAAATACAAAATTAAAAATACAAAGCAACTAATACGTTTATTTATTCTATACGTTAGGTTAGTTTTGAAAGAAAATGCACCAATCATGCTTGTGAGAAATTTAGGTCTGTCAAATGATTTATGCAATGGGACACTTTTGATTTGTAGAGGTTTTGACAAGAATATCATACATGCAGAATTAACAACGGGTCAACATGCCTCAAAACAAGTGTTTATTCCAAGAATACAACTATCACCACCTGAGAATGAAGGATATCTGTTCAAATTCATCCGAAAACAACTTCCAATTCGTCAATATTTAGCAATGACAATAAATAAAGCACAAGGTCAAATAATACTAAATGTTGGATTATACCTACAACAACATATTTTTTCACATGGACAACTATACGTGGCACTATCCAGAGGAATATCTATGGCGACAACAAAAGTATTGGTTATTAATGAAGAACAAGATGGACACACAAGGACATATACAAGAAATATAATTTACAAGGAAGTATTGGGTGAGATTTGATTACTACAAATATATGAAGCTAATGAAACTTCAACGGGACGTATACGTAAGATGCAACCGGCTGCATGAAACAATAATGTCCTGTATATTAATGCATTTTAATAGACAATACAAAACAATGCTTACAGACTATTTAGATGAAATAATACACTTTATTTATGTTAATATATTATCAATATAACAGAGGTGACAAGAAAAACGACAGAAACAAATATACACAAGGGAAACAAGTAAAATGACACCTTACACACGCTATAGAAATGATACTCAAACAAGGGACTCAAAAAAAATAAACCACGTGCAACGCACGTGCAATTAGCCAAGAAGAAACTAAAGAGAAAAGAAGAGAAGACTTGTTATTTCTCTTGATGAATGAATTTACAATGAAGAGGAGCACTCTATTTATAGGAGAAATCTAACTTGGTCCCCAAGTAGAAGAACTCTTTAATCATATCCTAAAATGGACTCCACATGATAGACATTCACTATAATACAAATACTTTATAACACTCCCCCCTGAATGTCTAATTCATAGATGATGTGCCTCGTCAAAAAGCTTACTAAAAAAAACTTTAAGAAAAGAAAAACTCTAGTAAAGGAAAAGAGTACACATATCTATTAATACGCATCTAGGCTGCCTTATTAAAAAACTTACAAGGAAAACCAGTGGGACAAAACCTCGTAAGGGAAAAAGAGTACAGCGCGTATTCACTCCCCCTAATGAGAACATTAATCCAGAGACTTGAATCTTCGCATTCCAAGCTTGTGCACCATCTTCTTGAAAGTTGCAGTTGGTAGAGATTTGGTGAATAGATTAGCCACATTGTCAGTTGAACGAATCTGTTGCACATTTATATCACCATTCTTTTGAAGTTCATGTGTATAGAAAAGCTTCGGTGAAATGTGTTTTGTTCTATCTCCTTTTATGAATCCTCCCTTAAGTTGTGCTATGCATGCTGCATTATCTTCATATAAAGTGGTGGGTACTTTATCACATTTCAAACCACATTTTTCTCGAATGAGATGTATCATAGACCTTAACCACACACATTCTCTACTTGCTTCATGAATAGCTATTATTTCAGCATGATTAGATGAAGTGGCTACAATGGACTGCTTTGTAAATCTCCAAGATATGGCAGTCCCCCCAGATATAAACACATAGCCTGTTTGGGATCGAGCTTTGTGTGGATCAAATAAATATCCTACATCAGCATAACCAACAAGATTTGAGCTTCAATTAACAGAATAAAATAAGCCCATATAAGTTGTCCCTTTAAGATATCACAAAATGTGTTTGATCCCATTCCAATGTCTCCTAGTAGGAGCAGAACTATACCTTGCTAACAAGTTAACAACAAAAGCTATATTAGGCCTTCCAGTATTAGCAAGATACATTAGTGCACCAATTGCACTAAGATATGGTACTTCAAGACCAAGAATTTCTTCATCCTTTTCTTAAGGTAGAAATGGATCCTTATTCACATCAAGTGAACGAACAACCATCGGAGTACTTAATGGATGCGCTTCATCCATACAGAATCTTTTCAACACTTTTCTGTGTAGGCAGATTGGTGAACAAAAATACCATTTGTCAAATGCTCAATTTGCAAACCAATACATAATTTTGTTCTTCCCAGATCTTTGATCTCAAATTCATTCTTTAAATAATCAATTGCCTTTTGAAGCTCTATGGAGTTCCAATAAGATTTATGTCATCAACATAAATAGCAAGTACAACAAATTCCGATATTGTTTTCTTTATAAAGACACATGGACAAATTGCATCATTTGTATAACCTTCCGTAATTAAATACTCACTAAGACGGTTATATCACATGCGCCCAGATTGCTTCAAACCATATAATGATCTTTGCAATTTAATTGAATACATTTCTCGAGATTTTAAATTACATGATTTAGGCATCGCAAATCCTTCAGGAATTTTCATGTATATCTCATTATCAAGTGATCCATAAAGGTAGGTTGTAACCACATCCATCAAATGCATTTCAAGTTGCTCATGGACTGTGAAACTAATGAGATAACGCGATGTTATTGCATCCATAATGGGTGAGTATGTTCATAGTCGACGCCAGGCCTTTGAGAAAATCCTTGTGCCACAAGGCGTGCTTTATACCTTTGTATTTCATTTTTCTCATTTTTTTTCGCACAAAAATCCATTTGTAACCAACAGGTTTAATACCATTAGGTGTTTGAACTATAGGTCCAAAAACTTCACGCTTGGCAGGTGAATTCAACTCTGATTGAATTGCTTCTTGCCATTTTGGCCATCATTTCGTTGTCGACATTCTATAACAGATTGAGGTTCATGATCCTCATTATCTTGCATGATATTTGTTGCAATATTATATGCAAAGACATAATCAACCACTATTTTTGATCGATTCATATTAGTTTCAACATCTCTTATATTTATGGATAGTTAATTATTTCTTTGAGTTTCAAGTTCATTGATTCTTTCATGAATATCAGACTTTTTCAAATTTTGAACTTCCATATGAGATTCTTTCATAGTGTCATCTTGACATTTAATTTTTTTTCTAGGATTTTGATGT